ATTAGTATGACAGGGTAGAATTATTGGGGATATATTTAAGCTTGATTAAAAAGAATGCAGGATAACACCTCCTTTCTCAAAATGGAACAGTGAAGGTGAGAGTGACCCAGGTCCTGCCTTTGTTGTTAAAAGAATTATGGGGAGGTTGGAAGGTTTCAGAGACATGAGCTAAGTGGCTGAGCTGCAGATGGACACTCTGGGGCTAAGGGAAGTGGTTAATTATTAATAATATTTTAGCAGCCAGCGGGACCTCACTGGTACACCTGGATGAATATCTGAACATCAGCCTAACATGAACACACAATCACTCAGCTACTGGCCTCTGTTTCTTTCATCCAGCAGTGTTGGGGCAAAGAGGAGGAGAAGATAAGAAAATGAGTTCAGAGATAGTTTAACTGGTGGTAAGAGTGGGCTGGGGTAGGAGTTGCTTAGGCACCTATATACTTCATTCCCACCCAATGTTGTTATATCCCATGAGGCTGGCCAGACAATTATTGCTACAGTGTGCATAGTCAGGGTGGGCCCACATGAAGGTCTCAAGGCCTACAAGGCCTGAAAATCACTTCTCTTTACCCAAATGAGTTAAAATGAGGATGACCATATATGTCTAGAATAGTCCTGATTTACACCTAGCTTCTTAGTATAATCATTAATGGCATCTCCATTTGCTTACAATGTGTTTGGTTCATAAATTATATGATAGCTCTAGTTATAATAGCCTAGATGTTCTCAACACAGAAACATGTTCATCCATTATCTCCCTCCTCACTTTCTACACAAACAATTCTTCAAAATCTAGCAAGGTAGAATTTTTGGTCCTTCTCTGAAGAAGATTATGAAATCTATGGAAAAAAATTGAAGATGATAGTAAAGTAAAATTAGAGGATCTTATTGATGTGATGGATTTAATTGGTGGAATTAGTATTCTGATTTCTGTTTTAGGAGAAACAAATATTTAAGCCCACACAGACACATTCCCCACCCGGGCTTTCCAATGAAGAGCAGGAAAACAAAATTGCACTAAGAAATGATAATAATATGCAAAATTTGTTTATTGGTTTTTCATTATGGGAGGAGAGGAAGTGAAAAATAAAAGAGAAATCTTGAGAGAGAATGGAGACAAGGGAAGAAAAGAAAGAATGTGATGAATGAGTGTATGGATGGACAAATGAAGGAAGAAAGGAAAAGTGGGTGGATTGGGTGAAAAGAAGGTGAAACAAAGGAAGGATGGATGTGTGGAAGGAAGGATGAATGGAGATGGATGAGAGAGTGGCTGGCTGGCTAGATGAAGCCAGTACAGGCTAAGTAAGGAAAAGTGTGAAGTAAAAAACACAAGAGTAAATTTAAGAGGAAAAAAGAATCAGTGAATATGTGAGAGGTGGACACTTTATTTCTAGTCTCCAATTCTAACTACAAATACAAAAACATTTTCTGGGATGATCTCAGCCATAATACTATCAGATGATTGAAATCAAAATAAAGATCAAACCATATCTATATTGGAGGTGTGGTGAGGTTGTTTCATTTTCCCCATCCACATGTATTATATCCTCTCCTTTCCTCTTTTAATTTCACCTTGCATGTTGATTTTTAAATATTGTTTTTGTTTTTCAGCAAATTGAGTGCTTCTACTCAGTGTTTGTTATCCCCTGGTTTGAAAAGTACAAAATTCTGAACAAAAACTGCACCAATGGCTAGGTGTCCTGGAACACACACCTGTGGTCACTATATGTGAAAGTACCCTGCAATAAACAGTAATTCTCAATATAGAAAATAAATGTTTGTTCACATATTCTCTTAATGTTCTTAATGTGCACAATTTCACCTTTTCCCTAAATTCTTTAAGTTCATCATAACACAGTCAGAAGGTCCTTTGGGCCAGGGCAGTGTTGAGGTCCAAATGAGGTGACATGAATAATTCCTCACCTGATAGCCTATAAAACCTGCATGACAAAAGAACTTCAAACCCATCCTCACATCAAGTAGGATTCTTTAGATTTTACAACAAAATGGAGAAAATGCGAAGAAGGAGGGGGAGGATGGAAAAAGTTCTAAGTTACTTCATTGAACAGCCAAGAGATATTGGCAAGATGGTATCTCTGAGGGGTCCAATGAAGAGTATCCCCTTCCTTGTCTAAAGTGCAAAAAACCCCCCCCAAAAACGAGAAATAATACAAGTAACTAAAAATGGCAAAAGCCTTTGTACTGATAAGGACTAGGTGGGAGATGTGCCTTATTTTTATAGAATAGTGCTCTTTCTAATATCACGGTCTAGAAATGGACTTATGCCCCCAGCATCAGCAACATTGGACCAGAACAGTTCTTTTCACAGAGGGATTCCTCTCCCAGAGTTGCCAAAGAAAATGTGTGCCCCAGTGGGAAGGAGGAGGAACTGGGCTACAATGCCCACTTTTTTCTTCCCAAGTAGACCAGTCAGATTCATTTCTTTAGGAGAGAAATGATTGAGGATAGAGAAACCAGGAAAGCCATGTTAAGGGGCTCCTCTTCCATGGATGGCACATAAGCAGTGGAGAATGAACATCCCCCACCCAATAGCATGATTCAGGATTTTAAACAGGCTCGTCTCTCCTCTCCACTTCCTCCATGTGGTTACAAGAAGGCTGCCAGCAGTTCACTGGGTCACATGTGTCCTCATTCACATCCAAGGGGAGAGGAAACGTTCATCTTCAAGAGCTCAGGCAAAAGCCTGGGGGCTTAATATCACTGGGAAACTCTAGGGACCTCGTGGAACACACACACACACACACACACACACACACACACACACACACACACACACACGACATTCATCTACCTGAAGAGAGAGGACGCAAGCTGGGGTTTTTATGCAACAGCTCTAGTCAGTTATTGGCTGCAGGGCAGCAGCTAAAAGCACATTAATTGCCTGAAACCTCTGGCCTTGGGCAGCTCCAGGACAGAGTAAGCAGCCAGAGATAAAGGGGTATAATAAGTGCTGGCATTTGGAACTCCAGCTGTTACACACATAGAATAAGATGTGAGAGGATTTAAGCCCAGCACCAACAGGATAACTCCTCACACATGTGAATTGTGAACTGAGATGCACAGTAGTCAAACCAAGTCTCCACAAGTTGGAGATAGCCAGGAGCTTTGAAAGAACAGTTTTTTCCCCACACTATACTCCATACCAGAGTTCTGGAGTACTCAGGATCCTGTTTCAGATGGGGCCCAGGTGAGATTCCCCTCCACCAACTACCTGGGAAAATGCTATTTTCTCAACTTTAACTGAGAATAACGGTATCAATTTCTTGGAGGTAGTTATGAAGATTAATTATGATAATGCTTGTATATTGTTTAACACAGTACCTAACACAAAGCAGGTATTAAAATAAATGTTAACAATTAGTAAGAATACTGGCATTAGCAGTATAATTTAATATTGATCATCCACTCAACCCTCTTCTGGCATTTTGGCTACTTTGTTGGAAGGCAGGGATTACTATCCTGAGGAAAGATTAAAGGGAAGGTAAAACATTTGTGCTCATTGATCTTTTGGATTTCTCAACCCAATGGGTTTTGTTTTTTAAATTTTGAAATAATTGTAGATTCACAGGAGGTTACAAAGAGGCCTCTTGTACCCTTCATCTAGTTTCCCCCAGTTACATTTTTTTTATAATTATATAAAAATACCACAACCAGGAAATTGACATTGATACAATATGCCTGTGTCATTTTGTCATATGTGTAAATTTGTGTGACCACTACCACCAAATACAGAAGTGTTTCATCATCACAAAGATACTCTGTACTATCCTTATAGTCATGTCTCCCTTTTCCCCATCATCTCAAACTCCTGATAACCACTGATTTATTTTTATCTTTATAATTGTGCCACTTATAGAATGTTATATGAACGGAACCATGAACACAGTATGTGACCTTTTGAGATTGGTCATAATGCCCTTGGGCTCTATCCAAGTTGTTTCATGTATGGTTTGTTCCTTTTAATTGCTGAGTATTCCTTTATGGTACACTATGATTCAGTAGTTTAACTATTTACTTATTTTAGGATGTGTTTGTTGTTTTCAAGTTTGGGGCTATTACAAATACAGCTTCTATGAACAATTGTGTACAGGTTTTTTTTGTGGACATAAGTTTCCATTTCTCTGAGTTAAATGCTCAGGAGTACAGTTGCTGTATCACATGGTAAAATATATCATATATATATATATATATATATATATATATATATATATATATATATATATATATACTGCCAAACTATTTTCCAGAGTGGATGTATCATTATGTAATGTTCCTCTCTAGATCTGGTAATTTTCTTTGCTCTGAGGTCTACTTTATCTGATATTAATATGACCTGTACTACTTTCTTTTTGTTTGCATAATATAACTTCTTTCATCCTTTTACTTTCAACCTACCCATATTATTATATTAGAAGTAAGTTTCTTCTATACAGCATATAGTTGAGTCATTTTTTTTATTATTAGTTTCAGGTGTACAAAACAATGTAATAGTTAGACATTTCATCCCTCACAAAGTGATAACCCTCTCTCCCAATCTATTGCCCCTCTGACATCATATATATCTATTAAGTTCAGTCTACGAATCTCTGTCTTTTAATTGTCTTATTTAGACAATTTGTATGTAGTTTGCACTACTGTTTAATATAATTATTGATATGTTAGGGCTTTAATTTGTCACTACTTTTTGCTGTGTTTGTTCTGTTTCTTTGTTTCTGTTTCTTTATTCCTTTCTGTGAGTTACTTGAACATTTTTAAAGAATTCCATTTTTATGTATCTATACTGTTTTTGAGTGTATCTGTTTACATAGTCTTTTTAGTGGTGTTCTAGATATTACATTATAAATACATAACTTGTCAGTCTACTGGTGTTAATATTTTACCAGTTGGAATGAAATGTAGAAAGTTTACCTACTTTTACATCCCTTTATCATTCCTCATTTACAAGTGCCTTAAATATTTCTTCTATATACATCATCAGGCAATGGTATAATTTTTGCTTTAACCACCAAACATAATTTAGAAAACTCAAGATAACAAAAACATATTGTATTTATCCAAATTTTTTCTTTTTGTGTTCTTCATTTCTGATGTTCCAAGATTCCTTCTTTTATAATTTTCTTTCTATTTAGAGAATTTCTTTTAGCTCTTCTTTTAGGGTAGGTTTTCTGGTGCAAATTCTCTTAGTTTACTTTTATCTCTAAATGGCTTAATTCCCCCTTCATTCCTGAGGGATATTTTTGGTGAATATAAGATTCTGGGTTGAAATAGTTTTATTTGTTTTTGTTTGTTTGTTTCCCTTTCAGAACCTGAAAACATTGCACCACTTCTGGCCTCCATGGTTTCAGATGAGAAATCCACTGTCATTTAAATTGTCTTTTTTTCCCCATAAAGGTAAAGAGTTTTTTCTCTTTCACTGTTTTCAAGATTTTTTTCTTTGCCTATAATTTTCAAAAGTTTGACTCTGATGTATCTTAATGTGGATTTCTTCGGGTTTATCCTGTTTAGAATTCTTTCAGTTTTTTTAATCTGTAGGTTTAGGTATTTTGTCAAATTTGGGAAGTTCTCAGCCATTATATCTTTAGTTTTCAGCCCATCTCTCTCCTCTCCTTCTGGAACCCCAATGTGTTAGATCTTTTGTAAGGCTCTGTTCATTTCTATACAGTCAACTTTCTCTTTGTTGTTCAGATTGAGTAGTTTTTATTGTTTTCTCTTCCAGTTCACTGATTCTTTCCTCTGTTCCCTCCATTACACTGTTGAGCCCATCCATTGAGTTTTGTATTTAAGTTATTGTATTTTTCAACTCTAAAATTTCCATTTATTTCTTCTTCATGTCTTCTCTTTGCTGAGATTTCCTGTATCTTTGCTGAGACTTCCTATTGTTCGTTTGAAGCATGTTCACAGTTGCTCATTGCAGCATTTTTATAAGGGTTACTTTAAAATCCTTATGAAATTATTTTAACATCCACATCATCTCTCTGTTAATATCTGTTCATTGTTTTTTCTCATTTAAGTTAAATATTTTTGGCTCCTAGTAGGACAAATGATTTTCTATTAAAACCTGAATGTTTTCATATTGGAACTCTAGATCTTATTTATATCTCTTTTAGCAGGCCTCCTCTGACAGTGCTTTGATAGGGAAACAGGGCACAGTCTCATTACTGCCAGGTGAGGCTGGAATCCCAGGTTCCCCCACTCAGTCTGTGTTGACAGAGGCGTTAGGGGAGGACTCTCTATCACAGTAGACAGGGGTCAGGAGTTCAAGCTCCCCAATAGGCCTCCACTAATACCACTTTGATTGGGAGGCGCAGGAACGCCTCATCTCTGCTTCCCATGTGTCTCCTCTAACACTAGTGGGAGAAGTAGAAGTGCAGGCTTTCCACAGATCCTCATTACCATCACAGGGAGTGTGTGTGTGTGTGGGGGGGTTGCTGCTACCCAATGGGGATAAAGTCCTAGCTCCCTACCTGGCTTTCTCTGATGCCACCCCACTGTGTCTAGGCTCCCTACTTAGCCTTTGCTGAGTGTTGCAGAGCCCCATCTTCCTTTTGGTGTTTAGCTGGAGCAGAGCAGTTATTGTCAAAATGTTTTCTGTCCCGATCGGCTGCCCCTTTCTTGCCCCTTTGGCTAAAGACAACAAGTTTTTGTTGAGGCATTTTTATCTGTACACGTTAGCA